ACACTGGTGCCACCCCATTAAATTCCAGCAGTGGCACCACTGGTAGAGAAAGAATGGCACTCAGATTTTTCACCATTAAGTAATCTGTTTTCATTACCTTCTCAGCAGTTTCTTTCATTTGCCTGCAGTAAGGAAACTAAAATTAGAAAACATTTCATGTTCATAGTTAGTTTGCTTGCAATGTGAAAAAAACAAGTCTATAAATTTGTCTGTTGGGTTATGCCTTGTGCAGTTCTACTAAAAAAGTTGTCTTTACATTATAGTGATGAACTGTAATGGCGTAGTGCATTATTTTGTCCAAAGTAATTCAAATTAATGATCCTAGAAATATTATTTGAGGTGTCTAAGTTATAAAGCATTGCCAATAGTCATGAATATTACCAGCAGAATTTCTATTCTCCTTTGTAATGTACGCATTGCTATGTGTTAATAAACTATTTTCTGATCATCTTCAGAACTTGCTGCTTCTTGCAGAAGTCCCACATGCCAGTCTTGTATTAGTTCTAGTAGCAATGAATGTCAGGTAAATGCTGATAGGAAAGTATCAAAAGTCTGAATGCATTGTTCTTGCCTTGACTTGCATACTTAAGTTCTCATTTCACATTAGCTAAAGTGATACTGATTCTGACTGAATAGAAAACAGAAAAAAAAAATTAGCAAGTCAAAGTGTGGTGATCTCATAGGCTCTTCAGCTGGTGACCATGAGAATAACATTAGATAGAAATTACTTTTTATTTTCATTTACATGCAACTTTAAAAAAGGAGAAAAAGAAAAAAATGTAGAATACCTTTCTAGTTTAGATAAATGTCACTCTGAATTTGCTTCTCAAGAACGGCAGGGATATTGCATTGTACTGGCTCATGTTCCTCTTACTAAGAAAATGCTAAGCCTTACCAACCATAGATAATAATCCTTTGATATGGTCAAGAAAATCCCAAAGTTCATCCAAGCTGGATGGCACCAGAACTAACACACATTTGGGAAACATGCCATCACAGTGGTACCCAGAGACACTCTTAAGAAGCTTAGAGATCAGAGGAGGAGATGAAACGATTTGAGCTTCATACGAGCTTCTCATGACCAAATACTGATGCCAAGACCACTTCTAAAGAAAAGTAGATGGATCATGAAATCATGAAAGCATGAAGTCAACCAACTTCTGGATTTCAAAAGAGAGGACTGAAGAGTAAGCTTTTGCATGAAGTAATTTAAAAACTGACAATCATACAAGTGAAGACCTAATTTTTGAAGTTCTTATAGATCTGCTGTGGTTTACTTTGTCCTGGAGAAAGGGTTTTCTAGCTCATACAGTTGCTTTCATACTAAGGCTGGCCAATGAGTAGAAATAGTAACTTTGTGTGCACTCGCACATACCTATTTTTTTCAATAATTCATTTTCTCTTCTAAATACCTTTTTAAAATTCCTGTAATAACTTTTCAACCTTTCTTTCTGACAAAGTATTACAGTCCAATCAGCATTAAACATACATTTGCTTAGTTTTAAAGGTCATATAATAGTCACACACCAAACTATCTTTAAAGGTAAAGCAAAGCTTGAAAACAGATCTCAAATGTAATTCCTCAGATGACATTTGGCTAGAAATCCTATGCAAACTTTAAATTATTCTTTTAGTATGAGGCACACCCTTCTAATTTCTTAGATGCAGTTAGGTATTTTATACTTATGAGGAACTTTCCTTACTGCAGGCAGATAACAGAAATCCTACTCACTGGCTATACTAAAAATACAACTGAAGGAAGTATTTTTACAACGTGCTGCATGGAGTATGTGTTCATGTGCAAAAACTATGAAAACCTGTAATTCTTCCTATCCTAGGTGGGCAGAATTAATTTCAGATTTGATCACCCTGCTGCGTATCAGGATGACGGATAAGGAGGCGCAGAATAATTGCGTTAACAGAAATCTGACAGTGGCAGGCACAATGCCGTATTGTAGGAATAAGTCAAATCTTCTGTACGTGGCTCATTAACAAGGCATGCAGGCCAGGCCTAACACTGATCATTCCAAAAAAATCTGCCACAAACTGGAACGTAGCAGCTGAATCCATCTTAGTCAAACCATAAGGCAGCAGAATATCAGTCTATTTCAGATAACACATGACATCTGCTCAAGCAAAATTACGTGCCACGGTGTTAATGAAGGACCTCAGTTTTCCTATTAATGATGGGATTTAGTTGTTTCATAAAAGTTAACAGTCAAAGATGAACATTAGAACCTAGAATCGTAAAAATCCAAACTGTAGTCGTTTCTTCATGCTTTCTTCAGGGAATACCATCTTTGCCTTCATGAAGAAGAAAAAGGTAGAAGATGGCTTTAAAGAAGCTTTAAAGGTAAAAGCTTTAAAGAAAATGGTTGATATATATTTTAATACAGATCAAATATTGTCAAGCTGTGAAAACGGTTCTCTTTCAGAAACAGTACACTACAAAAATGCAAAGAAGTGTACTTGATATTGATAGACCGCTACCAAACAGTTATAAACTAGGGCCAAGCATGTGCTTTGGTTTCACATAGAATGAACAGTTCCTCTGTCCCCTAAGGAAAACTCACAGTGGAAAAAGGCAAGCAGGAATTTAAGGCTGCACAGGATTGTAATTTTAAGAATAAAAACAATATATGAAATAACAAATAAAGGAACCAGGGGCTAAAAAAGTGCATTTGTATGTTTAAAACAAACAAACAAACCCCCCCCAAAACCCCAACATTAAAAACCTCCAAACTACTGAGGAAATAGTAACAGATCATAGAACTGAATTACTACAATAGATCTATCAACCCATAAGTTAATTATAAAATATCAAGAATTGTGGAACTTTTAGGCATTTGAAGAACACACATTGTCTTACTACTAATAAAGTTGGTAAATTTCAATGCTTCTGTGTCCCAAAGCTGAAGATTTAAGCAAGTGCTTGATTTCTGCCCACTGAATAGTTTAAGACAGACTTAGAGTAGGTAGCGCAGCCTTAAGGCTCTATAGGTGTGAGGGTTCAACAATAACAAAAACATCTGCAGTGTGAAATTAGTCACATGGAACCAAAAAACCCTCACACTATATTTGTATGAAAATAACATGTTACTGGTTGAGGAGGCAAGTCACAGAAAATATACAGCGTTCTTCATTTGGCTCAGTTTCTTTTGGAAATTATGTAACATTTTTCAAATACTGAACATTTCAAGCCTTAAGGATTGAGAAACAAACAAAATTCTTATGATGTTTATTAGTTTTAATCAGACTCTTGTCTGCTACCATTTAAAACAGGACAGAAGCATACCCCCGAAAGAAAAAGGGGCACGTGTCCCCCCCAGGATAACAGCCTTTGGAATGAAATACGATGGTTTCAACTTAAAAGACTTGTGTATTTTCAGCAGCAAGTATGCTGCTATGAGGAAAGAGGAAGTAGCATTGAATGAATTGACTTTTTTGTTTTCTAGTCAACCCATGTTTAAAGCTCTAAATAGCTTAAGCACTTGTTAAATATATTCTGAAATATGTCAAGGGCAGACTATTTTACCATAAGTGCCTTTATTAAGAAAAACATGAGTCTATACCTTCTTCATCTGTGTCCGACGGGAGCACCCTTGTCTCATCTTACTAGGAATCAGGGTTACTTCCTGGGTATTGATCTTTCTTAATGTCCAGAGAAACGATCTGCATTTGGAGACCACTGCAGTTATCAGTAAAGTCCAAAAGAACTACAAACTAGTTAAGTTACAAGAATGCTTCCCATTTTTACATGTGACATACTTTTAAAACTGAAGAACAAAAAGGGATGCAACAGAATGTTCTACTTCCTGAAAATACTTGGATTCAGGTAGCAACCACGGTTCCCAAGGACGCTTGCAGACTTTGCCCACCACTGCAAACATGATCTCTGTCATCACACTCATTTTCTTCATACTCAAGAGACTCTCAAACAACCAAGCAAAAACTGCAAGTAAATCCACCATTTTGGTATATAATGTAAAGATAATCTGAACTGCTACCAAATAACCCTCATCCAATTGACCTCTAAGATTTTTCCATATAAAGCCTTTGGAAATATTTGCTATTGTGCAATTGCCACAGAATAGTTTTTCTTCTCCACTAAAAGTTCTTGCTGTTCTTAGTTTCTTTGACTCTATCATTATTATTTATAAGAGCAGCTATAGTTATAGAGTCCACTTTAAGTGGACCAAAATATATCAAGAGAGGAACAGCTGTACTCTGCCATAGTCCAGAATTATGTCCCTTACCCAGGGAAATACCAGGTGTCCACAGAAAAGCACAAAGAACCTACTGTAACATACAGACTTGCAAAGATAGTTTGTCTTCCCATAGCAAGACTCAGCCAAAGTATGAGAATTTGCCCTTGTTGAAAGGTATTTTTTCCTTACATGGAAATCTATTTCCTCAAATTCTGTACCCTGTTCTGCTTACTATGCACTTCCCTTCCTTAGAAACATGATCCATAGGAGATCTTGACTATGTTCCCAGAATTTTATATTTTTAAAATATCTAAGATTGTCTTCTTGTTTATTAACAAACTGCTTATGACTTAAAACCAACCAAACAAACAAAAAAATCCACCAAAAACCACTGCCCAAAACGCCCAAAATCTTTTGCAGAGAGCTTGCGGTTTTTTGTTTACTTCCCTCTAGCAACATATGGCAACATCTGTTGCCTCCCTGCTGGACAATGACTTCTTAGCATTGACTTGTCCACTACAAAATCTTCTTAAAGTGGCAAGTAGAAAAATTCAGGTGCAATTAAAAAAAAAAATATATATACACATGCTTTCAAGTTCTTGCAGTTTGGTATACTGCATGAACATGCAGTAATTTCTCTGAAGTCAACTGATTGAGTATAAAGCCCATCAAGACAACTTTCTTGTCGAGGAAACATGAACTGGCTTTTGCTTACTACTTTTCTAATTATACCATAAACTGTTAATAGAATGATATTCTCATTTTGCAAAAATAAAGAGCAGACACTTCAAGTTTCAGACATTTATTAAGCCTCATCAAAACACTTCCAAACACATGACCAAGTGCAGCGTGAGGCAAGTTTGATTATTTCCTGGATGAGTAAGCATGACAATTGTGCGGACGGCTTCCGGAAGACCTTTCTGTGCAGCTTAGAGAGATGAGTGTGTTGTTCAGAAGTCAGGACGGTCCTTTTTCAGTCTACTGTAGTCTACATTAACCGAGTAGAACTAGGAAAGACGGGGGAAAAAAAAGTGTAAGAAGCTTGACTATCCATTTTCCAGGGTATTTACAAAAACATGTATCATTTGAACTCATGTCAGGAAACTGAAATTATAGTTTGAATCCGTAAACTAGACAAAAATAAATAAAACTTTGAATAGCAGTAAGTTTTTAGTATTATCTTCATTCTGCATACAGAATAGAAGCTCTGCATTTAAAATGAGGCAGTGCTCGTGTTTACAACTAGAGGAAACCCCCCAGTTTCACTTCTTTAATCCCCAGAATTAAAAGTTCGTTCATAGGAAGTTCTTACAGTACTGCTGAGTTTATCCTTTTTGCCCAAAATCTATGTGCTCCTGTATACCGAAGGCCACACCTAGGTTGCCAAGTGGCACAAAGCATGGTATATGTGAACAGATTGTGTCACAAGGGAACATTTAGAGCAGTGCTGCATAAGCCAGCATCTCAGCCTTGTCATACCTGAGAACTGCTAGGTATGACAAGAAGGAAGAAAAGTAAGAACAGATCCTTTCACACTCTCGGTTTATATTAATAAAGTTGGATCCCATTACAAGCAATTCAAAGCAGCCCCAACAGTCACCAAGGACAATTAATTTACAGACTAAAGACATATTTTGGCATCCCAGTCTGACTTGACATCAAGTATGTGATACTATAGTTTTTCTTAAAAAAAAAGTAAAAAATATTTATCTATTATCTTATTTTTAGTTATGCCGAAATTTATTTATTTTTAACTTCTCAGAGAAAACAAAACAGCCTACAGCACATTCAAGTTACAGCTTTATGTGCAACTCCTACAGTTGATATGACAAAGAGAAGTTTACAAAAGAAAAACAATTCCATGAAAAGCTAAAACTTGTTATATTGGAGCTTTTTACTAAACAGTAATCCTCAATTTAGAGTATCTGCCTTTCCATTTCCCACAGTGCAGATTTGGGAAAAAAAAAAAAATCCCCAATGATACACACCCCCAAATATGGTAAACCCTGAGGCTGTGTTTGCATGCTAAGACCGAAGGGGAATGCCACACAAGGCATGCACTCTTTAAAAGAATTTGTGCTGCGCACTATGTTGAATTTGCCTCTTTTAGATATTTAAGAAACAGCAACATTCCAGAAGCAGCAATGAAAACAAAGTATTATGCTCTTCCTGGACCTTTAAGGGAACTGCAACATTTTATTTTGGAGTGTGGGGTTTTTTTGCTTATTTCGATGATTGGAATAGTAAAATATGGTACTGAACAGACACTAGCTTTGAAAACATAGTAGGTTTGCTGTTTTGGTAGCTTGAGAATAATCTTAAAATAGTCTTAATAGGAGTCTACTAATAAAATATCACTTTAGTAAAATATGATAAAAACATGATTTCTGTAAACTACCAAATGTTTTACACATCTTTCCATGCTTCCTCATTATTTGAGTGAAATAATTTGACTATTACTTAAAGAACATATCTATTCCATCCAGTTACTTACAGTCAATTGTTTTGTTTTCAAACAATCAACTGTAGAACTGAATTAGTGTTTACGTTAAACACCGACATTTTCCTGCTTTGCTTTTCATGAGTGAAGGCCAACAGTTTAGAGCTTAGAAAGCTTTAGTTCAGAACTTATGACATTTTGTCCTTCTCTCTGTAGTTTATTTCTGAGTATTATGAGCCAGTATATTCTTCCTGTCGCATATAATTCCTCTTTTTCTTACAGTGCAATATATTTAACGGCTTCCATGCAGACTCCTTTCACTCCATTATCAACCAACTTTAGGAAAGTTTTAAATCTCAAACTATTTGCTCTGCTTTGAATTCTAGAGACAAATAAATGTTGCACAGCAGAGGAAATACACCACTCATTCCGCTACTTTCCAATATACTCAAACATCCTAAAGCAGTAGGCTACACCTTCGATATTACATTTCCTAAAAATCTGTATTTTTCATTTTACCTTGTACTGGTCACTGGGAGACAGTTTGTTCCAAGGTTCTGGATTATTTGTCTTGTCCCAGCTATTGGAAAGATGCAAGATATGAGAACATATTAAAAGACTCACACTACCTCCAAAATGAATAAAATTCCTATGTGTACTGTGGTTGTTAGGCCATCATCCAAATAAGTTTCCACAGAAAAAGACACAGTCCTTTGTCAGCAGTCTCTAAATATTATATGGTAAATAAACAAATCTCCAAATCAAGGAAATCTCCACACACTTACTGCCAGTGATAACGGAGCAAGGCATTAAGGTCTCCAGAAACACAAAAATCAAGGCAGTGAAGTTTACTTTAATATATGCAGCAGGAAGACTGAGTGCTGTGAATTGTTTTATACATACCAGACATCAGGGTTGAACATTGCCAAACGCATGAGATACAGGCCCGCACCAACACCTCCGGATCCAATGATCAAAAACAGAGGGATCAACTAGAACAACAACAACAACTTAATTATAATACCAGAATATAACAAAATAGCACTATTATGTGGTGTTTCTGACTACAGCAATAACAAATCAAAGAACAAGCTCATGCACTTTTAGCCATAAGACATGGCCCTCTAAACCCCTGACAAAAGCGACATCCCTGGGGTCAGAGGAATTAACAGCTACAAATAGGCAGACATGAAAAAAAAAACCCACCAACAAACAAACAACTGCTATGTGCAGAACAACCTAACGTCCCATAACAGCACGTTTGTAAAAAACAAACACCAGTCCCTCCGCTGCCCAGAACAGCCCCTACTATCCGTACCCCCGATCACAAAGTAAGAAAATGGGAGCAGAAAGGCAGCGGTGTAGGAAAACAGATAAGCAAGAAGAATGGAAAAGCCACCTTGAGCCTTGCCGCTGCAGCATGAGACAGGCCCACACGTACCAGAGGAAAAAGGGGGCCTGACCCCGTCTCGCCGATCAGCCCTGAGCTGCCC